GGACCGTTTACATTAAATCGGTTAAATATATATATGGGAGCTATATCTAAATCTGAACCGATTTTTCCCAATTTCAATAGGGTTCGTCCTTGGGCCGAATAAGTGACCTATGCCAAATTTCATCCAATTCGGATCATAAATACGACCTGTACTTTGTTTACAATTTAACATGGACAGACAGACAGACAGACAGACGGACGGACGGACATGCATAGATCGACTTAGAAAGTGATTCTATGCATATTCTCAAAAGGAACCATGGGTCTATCTCGATTATTTTTGCCTGTTACAAACATATGCACAAAGACATAATATCCTGTACCACAGTGTGGTGAAGGGTATAAAAATGGCAAAGTTATCTTGACTCTCTGGAATCTAAAGCGGATATACATATGTTGCATGCATATTAAGTAATGTTAGTCTAAATACGTACGGCTTATTTCAGCGAATTGTTGCTTGTTGTTATTTAAATATAGAAAATTTCATTAGAAGAAATCTTGGAAATAAATGCCTATGGCATTTATTCAACCTAAATACATATTCAACCTAAAGCTTTAAAACTTTGAACATTTCTCAAAACAAGTGCCTATTATTTAATTTTCCGTGTTTTGATCTATGTTTCTTAGATCCCGGCCCACATAGGTATATTTTCCAATAAACGCATATATAATTAGACATTCAGGTTTCATAGTGGTTAAAATCCGTGCTGTTTATACCCTTCACCACACTGTGGTACAGGGTATTATGTCTTTGTGCATATGTTTGTAACAGGCAAAAGGAAACGAGATAGACTCATGGTTCCTTTTGAGAATATGCATAGAATCACTTTTTAAGTCGATTTATGCATGTCCGTCCGTCAGTCCGTCTGTCTGTCTGTCTGTCCATGTATTTTGTGAGCAAAGTACAGGTCGCATTTATGATCCGATATGGATGAAAATTGGCACAGTTCATTTGTTTGGCCCAAGGACGAACCCTATTGAAATTGGGAAAAATCGGTTCAGATTTAGATATAGCTCCCATATATATTTTCGCCCGATTTAATGGAAACGGTCCCTATATATCTTTCGATTTGCACGAAATTTAGTACAGGCTAATCAATTAGGCCTAGAATGATATCTGCCAAGTTTCGTGAAAATCGGTCCAGATTTAGATATAGCTCCCATATATAGTTTCGTCCGATTTCATGTAAATGGTGCCCCAAAGTCCCTATATATCTTTTGATTTGCACGAAATTCTGCATAACGTACTGAATTAAGCCTAGAGTGATGTCTGCCAAGTTTCGAGAAAATCGGCCCCGATTTAGATATAGCTCCCATATATAGTTTCGTCCGATTTTATGTAAATGGTGCCCAAAAGTCCCTATATATCTTTCGATTTGCACGAAATTTGGTACAGCCTAATCATTTGGGTCTAGAATGATGTCTGGCAAGTTTCGTGAAAATCGGTCCAGATTTCGATATAGCTCCCATATATAGTTTCGTCCGATTTCATGTAAATGGTGCCCCAAAGTCCCTATATATCTTTCGATTTGCCCGAAATTGTGCATAACGTACTGAATTGAGCCTAAAATGATATCTGCCAAGTTTCATGAAAATCGGTCCAGATTTAGATATAGCTCCCATATATAGTTTCGTCCGATTTAATGTAAATGGTGCCCCAAAGTCCCTATATATCTTTCCATTTGCACGGAATTTGGTACAGCCTAATCATTTGGGTCTAGAATGATGTCTGGCAAGTTTCGTGAAAATCGGTCCAGATTTAGATATAGCTCCCATATATAGTTTCGTCCGATTTCATGTAAATGGTGCACCAAAGTCCACATATATCTTTCGATTTGCACGAAATTTGGCGTACTGAATTTAGTATAGAATGATGTGTGCCAAGTTTTTGTGAAAATCGGTTGACATTTAGATAGAGCTTCCATATATTATAGATTGATTTTAAGAAATTGACGCACCAAGGGACCAATATATGGCTGATAGCAACAAAACTTACTGAAATTAGTGTAACCTAACCTGTGATTAGTTTCGTTGAAATCGGTTCATATTTGGATATAGCTTCCATATATATTTTCACCCGATTTTAAGTAAATTGGGCATCAAATTCCTCATGTTAGTCAGATTGGCATCAAATTTTGCACAACGTACAAAATTGAGCATAGAATTACGTAGTTGCGTTTTCTAGAAGTACAGACATAGCCCAACGGATGACCTATTGATATTTTTTTGAAGTCGATTTACATACTTTTGTCCCATTGTAACAAACGAATGACATGTTTATGGATAGATCTAAGTCGATTCACATTTAGATAAATATCACATATTTTATTTCATCCAATTTCATGTTATTAGCCCTGTTTAATATACTCATAGTGGTGAAGGGTATCATATAGTCGGCCCCGTCCGACTTTACTACTTTCCTTACTGGTTTTTTAATGAGGAATTTCAGCCAAAGTGGCTTTAGTTTGCTTTCGAGCTTGGAGCGCGAAAAACATCTACTCAAAAACGAAAGTCTTTTTTGTGAAATACCCCCATATAAAGGTTCAGTCCCGTTTTAATCTCAGTCTAATTTTCCGAATTGAGTGTGTGGAAGACATAGCATCTTTGGAGGACCATTGAAATGGAATAGGGCAAAATTAAATTTGTGAACTACATAGATATTTGAACCAATAAAAAAACTATGCACATACCATTCTGAAATCTATGAAAAATTAGTAAATTAATAAAAATTAGTAAAGTAAAAATTATGTTAGTATATGAACTGTTTAGTTTTAAAATGAATTTAAATATGCTTTAAAGTTTGTTACTTAGAATTCATAATTTATATTAAGATATATACTGTATAGCTATAAGATACGTTTTATAATGTGAAGTACACTTTTGTAGTTTTGGCATGTTGCGATATTTATTGGCCAGATGGCTTTTTCGTGGCAATAGAAAAAAATTGCATTGGATTATTTGGTGTACCATTTGTATGGTAAATCTGTACTGATTTGAAGCAAATTTTACAGTAAAGCGTAATGTCAAAGATGTTATCTGAATCAAACGAACGTTGGGTATTTAGTACACAATTTCATGAAATCGGATGAATATACGTATATAGGAGCTTCATCTAAATCTGAACTGAATTAAACGAAACTTAATAGGCTTTATTAGCTACGCTGTATAAAATTGCATCGCAATCGATATATTTTCGTCCGATTTTATGTAAATGCTGCCCCAAACTACCAAAACTCGCATTAATATACCATGCAAAATTTTGTCTAAATCGGACAATCCTTAGTAGTTTAGTGCAGCATTTACATAAAATCGGACGAAAATATACATTAGTGCTATATCTACATCTGATTCGACTTTATTTAAAATTCACACATTTTTTTTTTTTGGACCCAACTTAATACGTTATGAAAATTTCGTCTCTATCGGAACACCCATGAGAATTTGGAGGCCCATTTATATAAAATCGGAATTTATATGTGACAGGTATATGTATATCTGTTCCGATTTCAGTAGAACGTCGGACTTTTTTGGGCTCAATACGTTATAAAAATTCTCGTCTTAATCGAATAAACCTAAAATATATATGGGAGCTATATCTGTAGAATCTTGAGAGTTTCGTGCACCATTTACATAAAATCGGACGAAAATATATATGAGACCTATATCTAAATCTAAACCGATTCCACATACGGCAATCAATACTACTATACTTCCGTACGCTGTGCAAAATGTTGTCTCAATCGGGGAAATATTGTGACTTGGGTGAACTATTGAGGAATCGGTAAAACCTATATATGGATGCTATTTGAACCGATTTTCTCCAAGTAGATTAGAAGAACAAAACTGTGCCAATATTCATATTATTCGTATAAGAAATGCGACCTGTACTTTGTTTACAGTTTTACATGGACTGACGGACATGCATAAATCGACTCAGATAATGATTTTATGCAAATTCACAAAATAAATCATGGGTCTATCTCGTTTTTTTTTTACCTGCTACAAACAAATGCAGAAAGATATAATATCCTGTACCACAGTGTTGTAAAGGGTATCAAATCTTAGAAGTGCAAGCAATATCTGTGCAAAATTTGAGACCAATTATCTTAATTATTGCGATCTATCGTGATTTCAACAGATGGATATGGCTAACTCGACATAGAATTTTATTTTGATCAAAAATATATTCTGTATGGGGTCTTCGATGGTTATTACGAGGTGGTGTAGGGTACAAAAAAGGAACAAGGGCCACTAAAACATGAGTTTTTAATGCTTTAACATAATTTTCTGAAGACGAAAATCGTTGATAAAATAAGCCATCAACTGCTCGTAGTTCGAACCAATGTGTAAGCTCACATTGTCCTGTTACGCTTGCTATGTCTTCTCTTTTTTATTGTCTTTCGAATTTCTCTACAGACTTCAACCAACCAAATCAGAATCGACCACCTACTTTCCTTAAGGGGAATAGTCGTCAATTCTACCGAAGAAACAGATGACCTTTTTCTTCAAGTGTTTCTTCCAGGAATAACTCACGGTACAATGCTATCTGGTTTCGGGCTCATATGTATAGTGCTATGATTCATCACCTGTGAAGAACTTATAAATCGGACGAAAACATTAGGTTGGGAAAAAAGAAGTCAATTATTTTTATATGAACTACAGGACTTTATTTAACATGCTATCGACATTTTCGACGACCGGCCTACCTGTGCGAGGTGCAACTTTAACATCAAAAATTTCTGAACGGAACTAAAAACATCATTCACAATTTTACCCGCTTGTCTTGCATTTTCACCTTTGTAAAAGAAAACTGTAAAATGTACCGAATTATCTCGTTGTTCCCTTCCATTTTTCCCCAAACTAATATATTGAAGCTGTATTTATATGCAATTTAAATACTCCCAATAAACGTTCATACTCAATAGGTGTCGGTCGGAAAGTTGTGTCCTTTAAATAATCGTTAATATATAATATATTATATTTCATGTTTATATTACTCACTTTATAACCACCTCACTATCCGATATCACACTAACGGCAATATTTTCCGGCGGTCCTGGCAAACGATCCCGATTCGATTCAAAACATCCCACAATAGTTCTTGCATACTGCAGACTACAAATTTCCTTAGAACGCACTGGTTCGCCACGACACCAATTCAAACATTTACGCGGTACATTCGAATCAGCACAACAACTACGATGATCTGAACCATCAGCGGCACAACGCAGCATTTTATCAAATTCGACAATACATTCGGGTTTATCAGCTATAGCATCAATATCGACATAATAACTGCAGGCACTGCGACACGTCATCGAAACATTCAGTTGGGCACAACATTCCGTAACATTATGATTTAGGGCGGGGGTGGTGCGCAAACGTACCGATACCGGTATGGTCTTAGAACCATATGGATTTTCAGCATGACAGAAATAATCGCCAACATCACTAGCTTGCAATTTATGTATGCGCAACACCATGGTATATAAATTCGGATGTGATTCATTGATACGTTCCATAATGTGATCATTTCCACCCTCAATGACCCGTATGCGGCCATCATGATCACGCCAGAAAATAGTTTTTGGTTTGGGTTTCGAATCGACTAGACAGCGCAGTTCCACTTCATTGCCCACCGAGGCCACTGTTATGCCGGCGGCTTGGATTTTGGGAGGGTCTAAATATAAATTATATTTTTTTGATTTTTATAAAACTTACAGCATATATTAACTTTCCGTGTGGCCTGCATTGGCACACCATATCCGTTATCGGCATAACACGAAACATGTTCCATATCTGCGGTCACATTGTGTATAACCGTGACCATATGTCTTGAAGCATCTGGACGTACTAAATGTCCCCCAACATATAATGAAATAGTGGGAGCAGGATTTCCCAAGGCCAGATAAAGTATGGTCATGGAACCACCTTCGGGTATATTATCAGCAGGATGTACCGTATATATATACTATATTTCTATAGGATTATTTTATACTTACATCCACAAAGGCTGGTAAGGCTGGATCCGTCCAGGCCACAAGTGTTTCTGATGGCATTGATGTTGCCTTTTCTCCCACAGCTTCAACGTACAAAATATGCTGTGAACTTGGCTTCAAATTACCCATGCGCAGCCATGCAACTCTTGTCTCAATTTTATTGAATTTTTCAGCTTTGGTTGAAATTCTTGTGATACACTCTGGAATGTCAAGTGAAAGAAAATTAGGTCAAACAGGGTTCAAAATTAAAAACAAAATAATAGTGGGTAGATAATATGGAACAGAATATTTGTTTTTGACCCCATAGACTTCATAATCGTATTTTGAAGTTTATAACCAAATTTCTACAGAGTTAATGCATATAGTCCAAATGTCTCATGATAACGTTACTCCTGTGGTGTAACAATATTAATCCAAAATACTTTAATCACCGACCTTTAACAATTTTAATCGATAAGACAAACAACATCGTGAAAAATATCTAAATTTATACGACCAAATAACACGTTTCAAGTGTCATTTAAATATATAGAGCTTATTTCGAGGAAGTCTTGTGTAGTCGACCTGTCCGAGTTTGGCCCCTTCCATACTAGTTTTAATTTTATGTACATCCTGTCCTTTAAATTAATATATATTACAACTCATATTAAATTCCTGACATTTGGTATAGTCTGTTAATGGGAATATAATATTTACAATTATGACGTCAAATTTTGCAACTATGTGTGTATGTATGTTGTACCCATATTGCTTATGGGTGGAACCAAAGTCAGAATCTCCCAAATAAACCATTTATTATTAATTTATACGAAATAATTATATCCTATAAAGCTGCATGAAAATTAAATATGTTAATAACCCAGTGAACAATGCCAAATAAATTTGGCAGAACGTGTGAGCTGGCGAAAATTCCACAAAAGACCCTAATAGTCAAACTGAATATCTTTGAGAGAGTTTTTTTTTTAAATTTGGATCTAATAAAAATTGGTGTACTCGAACCGTTTAACGTAAAAGAGGGATATCGTGTTGCGGATCACGTAAAAGAGTGATATCGTGTTGCGGACCAGGGCGGTTTTATTACATGCTATTCGAAGTTGGGGCTACGAATAAGCACCATTTACTGGCATTATGATGCGAATGTACTCCCCAAACAGGCTGTCTTGTCTGATGATAAATACCTTGTATCATCCTTGGAACGAATTTTGTATAGCCTCCAACCAGTAGTTGACATTCTCTAATCGGTCGGGCCCTTATATACTCTTACAAAAGTTAATGTTTCACATTGAAGACACGTTAACATACAGGAAATTAAACGGGACAGGGAAAGGGTCGCCCCTTCACCATTTTGGGTACACCCAAGAGCTGCTCATATGTATAGAAAATAATGGAATCGGACGAAATTAAATATGTGATCTTCATATTAACCCATATCCAAAACATTCTGAAATCTGCATGTCAATCGGTCAGACTTGACTTCTTTGTATAAAATAGAACATATATATGAGATCTAAATCTAAACCGATTTTAACAAACTTTAAAACATACTAAACTAAATTCAATATCATCTACCAAATTTCTGCATATAGATCTAAGACGATTTTAAGAAACATTTTCACTCATTATTGTAGACTCAAATGAATTCGCTGTGCAAAATTTCGTAAAAATCGAACAAATATAGACGAATTCGGGCACCATTTACATCAAATCGGATATTGGAGCTATACCTAAATCTGTACCGATTTCAACGAAACTTCGCACACATAATTATGGACTTAATATGGTATAGTATTGCATTGCGAGTTCAGTGTACCATTTACATAAAACGGGATAAACATATATATGGGAGCTATATCTAAATCCGAACCGATTTCAACAAACATTATCACACATCATTGTAGAATCAATCTGATACGCTATGCACAATATCATGTAAATCGAAAAGGCATTGGTATCCCATTTATATAAAATCGGACAAACTTATATTGGAGCTATATCGAAATCTGAACCGATTTCAACAAAACTTCGAACTATTACATACTGTATGTATTACATGCTTTATGTAAAATTTTGCTAAATATGACCAACCGTGGGTGGTGCACCATTTACATAAAATCGGATACAAATATATATGGGAGTTTTAATAGGGTTCGTCCTTGGGTCAAACAAGTGACCTATGTCAAATTTTATTCGATTCGGATCATAAATGCGACCTGTACTTTGTTAAAAATTTAAAAATTTGACAGACAAACAGACGGACGGTCATGCATTAATTGATTCTGAATAGAAACATTATGCATATTCTCCAATGATAGTTGTTGGTAGGAAGATTTGACACACCCTGATATTATGAACTTGAACACACAAATTAGGGCCAATTCAGTTAGTAATGGTGGTATTCGGAAACTTGAACACACAAATTAGGGCCAATTCAGTTAGTAATGGTGGTATTCGGAAACTTGGGTCAATATTAATTATTTAAGTAGGGATATTTCCTACTAAATGAGATTTCAAAATACAAAATTACTGTAGATTAAGTTTAAAAAACGTGCCCAAAGTCATAAAAATACAGAATATTGGGGGATACCCCCAAACATGGATATCGATAGTTGTTGGTATAGAGATTTTCTACTCAATGAGAATGCAAAATATCAAAATAGAGCCAATTCGCTTGAAAATGGGGGCTACCCTAAAAAATGGAGCGACATATCTTCAATATTGCGAACTCTAACGTGATTCCAATATATGGTCAGACAGACGGACGGAAATTGCTCATGGGGTCTCAGGTGAATATTTCTAGTGGAATGATAAATTTAAAATACACTCCTCCGTGTGAAAAAGGATTTCTGAGTGTCGGATCTGAGTAATGCGGTGTAAAAGGAAGAAATTCTAAACAATATTTTTTCCTGTAACTTCCAAATAACGGTACCCTAGAATTTTATAAAGTTCTGAAACCCTTGTTTTGGAATTTATGATTTGTTTTATTAAATAGTGTAAACTCCAAAATCAGAACTCCGTTCCAGAGAATCGTAATATGATACATGCTCTTAAGCATAATCATTCCAATGGAAGATTCCGCGTGAGCCTAGAAAACAAAAAAATGCGCCAAGTTCTGTCAATGTATAGACTTTAGATCTCGGTGGACTAAGGTCTCGGTGGGCAATTGTAATCATATCTTCGTGAGATAACATAGTCCAGAAATTTCTCCCGAAACTAGCACTGCTTTTCTTGCTTGGTGAATGTAGAAGTTGTCCTGGTCATAACATCTCGCTATTAACATATCCATTGACCCAACCGAATTTTGGAAATAAATAGGTTCCATGACTTCGTCGCACTAAAACAACAAACGTTAATCATGCAGACTAAAACAACAAACGTTGAAAATCATGCAGATTTTTGCGTCTTAACATCAAGGATGTCATAATTTTGGGGTTAAATCAATATATTTAATGCAAAATACAATTTTCGTAGCACCCCAGGTTGAAATTGATTCACACCTGCTAAGATGATTTTTCGATGGAAACTGTGATACAAAACAAAACAAAATTTTTTTTCAGGGGTTCTAATGTACCAATTCCGTTTAGTTGGAGTCCCTGGACCACGAATATACCTTTGGTTTTTCTGGGTCACTTCGAATATTTGTTTTATAACGGTAAATGTAGAGAAAAACGTGGTTTCATAGATTATCACTTTGAAACGCGCATAACTTCTACTCTTCCTAACGGATTTATATTATTCTTTTTTTCATTCGACGAGTAGAATTTTTTCTTTCAAACAAGGTATATACTTGGTAAATCGGTTGAGGATTGGCTGAGTTACAGTGCTTGAAATGTGAAAAAATACACATAAAATGACAAAATTTATTTTTCTTCGGACTGTACGAAGAAATTATGATATCAAGCCGTATAAGTTTTATTATATTACGGGGAAGGCAATTAAATAAGCTTTCGAAAATGAGAAAAATCAAAAAAATCGGTTAAAAAATGGACGACTTATACTCATTTTAGTATAGATTCTATGCATATTCTCTAAAGGAAATATGGGTCTATCTCATTTTCTTTTGTCTGTTACAAACATAACGTGGCAACGAGGAAACGAGATAGATCCATAGTTCCTTTAGAGAATATGTATAGAATCAATACAAAAATGAGTATAAGTCGTCCATTTTTCAACCGATTTTTTTGATTTTTCTCATTTTCGAAAGCTTATTTAATTGCCTTCCCCGTAATATAATAAAACTTATACGGCTTGATATCATAATTTCTTCGTACAGTCCGAAGAAAAATAAATTTTGTCATTTTATGCGTATTTTTTCACATTTCAAGCACTGTAACTCAGCCAATCCTCAACCGATTTACCAAGTATATACCTTGTTTGAAAGAAAAAATTCTACTCTTCGAATGAAAAAAAGAATAATATAAATCCGTTAGAATGAGAAGAAGTTATACGCGTTTCAAAGTGAAAATCTATGAAACCACGTTTTTCTCTACATTTACCGTTATAAAACAAATTTTCGAAGTGACCCAGAAAAACCAAAGGTATATTCGTGGTCCAGGGACTCCAACTAAACGGAATTGGTACATTAGAACCCCTGAAAAAATTTCGTGTCGCACAGTGTAATCCTTCTGGATCGATGTTTTGACAAAATTCCTTCGTTTCTCATTGGGTGGGGAACATTTTCTTAGAAACATATGTTAATATTGATTGATTTTAACATTATAAAAGTTTTAGATTCCTGATATCTTTCATTTCCTGTGAAAAATTAAATTTTCACAAAACCTCTACACTGATATACAACCGAATAGTAAAATGGAAGACAATAAATTTATTGATAAACGTCCATCGAGTAAAGTCTTGAATGTAGTGAAGCTATTGATTGTTTGCTGGCATTGATGTAACGTTTGTTGTGCTTATTGCTGCTGTCATTATTGCTTCGAAGCAAATGAACTCTGTGTAATTAAGAACTTGACTTTTGCTTAACACTAATATATGGACATGCACAACACATCCCTAGAAACCAAAAGGACACAAGAGATCAACTGCAATGTCAAGTAAGAGAGACTAGCAAATGCAATAACATTGAATGGCATATTAAAATCCTAGATTTATTACAACAACTTAACCAAGCACCTTGGACAGTTTAAGAAGACGAACAGGATTGTTAGAACGACAACCGTAAAAAATATGAACAATCTTCCAAAACATGTTTGTTTAATAATCGATTACTATGGCAACAAGGCCACATTATTATGAAAGTCCTTTTTTCACAAAGGACATCATTCTGCCCAAATGACCTATTATGAAACCACACACAAGCACTTATAGAGATTTCTTATACAAAAAGACCACAAATATATATTGTCATGAATGTTGAAGATAATCTCGGTTACTTTTCATAATTAAATAATACCGGACAGAATCAGAATTTGTCCTTCATCTTTTTGTTCGTTGACACATTTGACATTTCTCTTGTGTCCTTATCACATTGAAATATATAAACGTTTTTATGTACATACCTGTAGGTAATTTTCTCATGAGGATGTGAGTATTCTGGTGGTTGCCATGTCAACTGCATCCATGTGGCACTGTGAGCAATTATTGCCAGTGAATGTGGCGGTGAGGGAGCAGCATAAATATGTTGTTGACCATCTGGAAAATGAGAATGAAAAACAAATTTTTTTGTTGTCAATATATAAGGAAACTGTAGTTCAAACGTGGATGTAGTATGAGTTGATAATATAATTGGAACAGAAGGGGGAGGATGTAAATCAAACAATAAAATGAGAGTATTATTCGGTAGGGGTGTAAGAGGATCTTATAATTCTTTAAAGATTCAGTTAAAAAAATCGAAAGCTTGTGTCATTTAAGGCGTGCCAAATCCAAAGAAAGATCCTCACGAAAGATACACTTCGAAGCGAAATAACTCTTGTTTGATGGCGCAAGCAAATCAATGGATCCCGAATACACTCCAAGTCCATATAAGAGCAGCGACATTAACAGAGCATTTGCCAGTATTAACTTTACACGTTGCGTTAAATATAAATTAGACGCAATAAATCTATCCAATCCAATCTTTCCCCTCTGAAACAGTTGCTGTACAACAATAATTTTGCACTAATCTAGGAATATATTCAAGAATGAGGGATTTTGATTACTAGAACCAAATCCCAAAGCTTTTGGTTTGAAAAAATTGACATTAAAATAATGCACAGAACGCAGTGCATAAAACCACTTAGATGAACGTTTTTGTTATCTTCCATCAAAGTAGAAGTATCCATTGCAAATCAGTATTAGGATCAGCGAATAAAAATTAAAGGTGTATCTAAATTTATCATATCCCAGTCTCCGACTTTTAACGTGCCTTCTAGATGATCAAACGATTTATAATTAAAATTCACACTATTCACTTCGGTGTTTTTTTTCCAAAGTAAACATGTTTTCACAAACTGAAAAAAAAACAGTGAGGAAAGCAGTAAATTCGGGCTGGGCCGACTATATGATACCCTTCACCACTTTGGGTATATTCTACATATGTATCCTAACAGACGTCGCCATTTTGAAGGAGCATTGACATGAAATTGAACGAACATAAATATGTGAAATTTATCTATATTTAAACCGACTAACATCAATCCCTACACATGTCATTCTGCAACCTATGCTAAATTTTGTAAATCGATTTAAAGCAAACTTGACACACGCTATTTGGTATGTTGCTCGGTTTAAAATTTAATCTCAATCAGACATCAATTGATTGCATGGTGTACAATTACCATGAACTGAATTCAAGAAAACTTACCAGAGATTAATCTATATCGGACGAACATATATATGGAAGCTACATCTAAATCTGAACAGATTTTCATGAAACTTTCCTAGACTATTCTAGAGTTAATTCAGTACGCTATGCCAAAATTCGTACAAATCGTTTATATAGAGCCTTTAGAACACCATTTACATAAAATCGGACGAAAATATATATGGGAGCTATATCTAAATCTGAACCGGTTTTCAGGAAACTTTGCACACATTATTCTAGACTTAATTCAGTCCGCTATGCCATGATTGGTGCAAATGCGACCTGTACTTTGTTTACGATTTAACATCAACAGACGGACGGACGGACATGCATAAATCGGATCAGGAAGTTATTCTATGCTCATTCTCAAAAGGAACCATGGGTCTATCTCGATTTCTTTAGCCTGTTACAAACATGTGCACAAAGCCATAATACCCTGAACCACAGTTTGGGGAAGGGTATAATGAGGGCAAATATGTGTACAGTACTAATTTGTGTATGCAGCCCAAATTATTTAAATCGCTTCGTACTCGAATTGTACGTACAATACTAATTTGTGTATACATTCCACATTATTTAAATCGCTTTGTACTCGAATTGTACGAATTCCGTCATCATTATCACTTTTTTTGATTCAGATATTTCCACCTTCATCATTTTCAAAAAAACAAATTGGGAATTGGCAACACCTACAAAAAGGTGGTTTGTGAACTTACCAAATATCTGTGGTTTGTATATTTACTAACACTTTGTTATAATTGCCAATTCAAATTCTTTGCTATAATGGTCAATTTTTATCTAAAAAGGGGCAATTTGTATGGAGGCTACTATTTCCTCTGCCCCCACCAAAAAAAATAAGTACCCTATGTTACCACAAATGTACTCAAAAATTGACTGTGAATATTTCATGAAAATCCGTTCAGTAGTTTAGGAGTCTATAGGTAACACTGATCAAACAAACAAACAGAAATTCATTTTTATATATATAGATATATAGATTTGTTCAGATAAGGAATACTGCGATACATGTTATGTTACAGCATGTTACGCCTGCGCATCTCTCAGTCTTACTGCGATGGTCTCCGTAACAAGATCAGCGTGTTTTTGAGCCGATGATATATTTAGTTGCTGCTTTCCGAGAAACCAAGCTAACTCAGAACTATAGCGTACAGCGTTGCGATACGTTGTGCGGCAGGATCGTACCAGAAACGGTGGTGGGAGACTTGCATTCTAGGTAAATAACTCTGTCCCGTACAAATCTATCACGCTAAGCTTTATTGACCCATACATTGAATGCATGTGTGAAACTGCCAAGGACGAGGCTGTACACCGAGATATTAGTGCATATGTAGAAGGTAATAATCGCCTGGTACTGGAGTATTTAAATGTCCATCATGAGTTATGGCATTCCGTCCTAGGTAGTGACCAGAGAGTTATAGCGCTTACGGAGCAAATTGCTCAACATTTTCACAGTGAATGAGGACGTCCCCTGAAGGATAATAGGATATTTCCACAGCTCGTCAGAAGGCACCAAAACTCATCAATGACGTAACCAGGCAATCCATAATTTCCCTCGGATAAGACTATCTCCCTATCGTAGTATCCGTCAATATACTACCAGCCTTCATAATATCTGAACGCATTACTTTCCTGAACCATGGGAAAGCTGATTAGAAGGTTTAAGATATTTTTCCGCTTCAGAGAGTTGTATATACCTTTTAGATCTTCGGAATTTCAAGAAAATCTGCACTACTGTAGCCACAAGCTATATACCTACTGCTCTAATAACCGAAGAAAGACCAAACATCTCAACAAAGTCGACGATATTGGTCAATGAACGTGACGTCTTTTGACTCCTGAAGATCCAAGGTTGAGAGAAATTACTGTCGAGGTCAAGAAGCTATTATGCGAGCACAAATGGAAAAAGTGGATAATCCACCTGAAGCAATGCAACATAGTGATCGGAACAAGTAAATTGTCGATAACGGTTAAGTCACTCTCATACTCGTTAATAAATGACAGTGTGATAGATCCAACGAGTTGTGCCTGTTATTTTAACTCGCGGTTTATAGATAGTAAAAGGGCGAAGGAATTCCCATTGTTTTGCTTCAGAAACTGGATGCATCTGGAGTTGTGAATCTAGCATAAGCCCTTTGTCATTAGCCACCCACATAGCTCTTGAGGCGGGGTATTCCCGCTATTGAAGCCTGACAAGGATGCCGTCATATGTACCTATTATTTATAACATATGTCAATGGATAAACGTCTACATTGCATAGATCTTGTGAATTTCTTCCCGCTGAGGAATATGGAAGTATCTGCCACCAAATCCACAGTCACACTGTTCACTACTTGGACGGCTGAATTAAGTGGTAGTGAGTGGTGGACGGAAAGCAGATTCCGACCACCAACTAGTCCAAGACATTTGGCCTAACGTTCGACAGCTTTTTCAAGACGTTCGTGCAAATCACTAATATTTGCGATAAACTGAGAAGCCGGAACAAGTCGCTGGCCGGCAGCACTTGGATTGCTAACAAGTAGACCTTGGATTGCTGACAATGAGTCCTTGTTTACCTCTTATTAAGCAATTGGCCATAATATATGACTCTAGAGTTGAATACCTAACATCACCCCTCAGAAGCCTGGAAAGTGGGAGTTTCGCTATTGAAGTCTGGAAGGATGCCACCAGATTGCCGTATTATTGATGATATATGCGACAGGATAAACATCTACATAGCTGATCTTATAAATTTCATCCAGCTGTGGAATGTGGAAGTATCAGCCGCCAAATCCACACGCACACTGTTCCCTACTTGGACGGCTGTAATAAAGCTTCCGCTGAACATACTAGTGAATGAAGAGCGGATTCCGACTACCGAATACTCCAAAACATTGGGTGTATAGTTTTTCAGCCTTTCCAAGTCGTCTGCGCAATCTACTACTATTTAAGATAAGCTGAGAAGTGGGAACAAGGTTCTTCAAGTAACTGACCGCATCACTTGGGTACTGACATGGAGACTTTATTGACCTCTTATAAAATAACTGTATGAACCTGGAGTTGAATACCTAACATCAGTCCTTGTCGTTAGCCGCCCACATAGTTTTCGCGCTATTGAGCCCCGGGTAAGGATGCCACCAGAGGGTCCTATTATTACTGACATATGTGTGAGGACAAACGTCTACATAGCACATCTTGCGGATTTCTTCCAGCTCAGGAATATGAATGTATCCGCAACCAAATCCACAGCCACACTGTTCACCACTTGGATGGCTGAAATAAAGCTCCCGCTGAACATAATGGTCGATGGAGAGCAGATTTCGACCGCGAAAGTCACTGCTATTTGCTATATGCTCAAAAGTAGAAAAATGTCCTCAAATCGCTGACCAATTTACAATTTTCTGCGAACAATTTTCAAAATGTTGAGTGTACAGTGATATTCAAAGGATCAAATCGGATTCTTTGAATATCGGACATAATCTAAGCTTGGTATAGGAATTAAGTTGTGCAAAGTATGGTTCAAATCGGACATTTCATTCCCCTGATATTTGATTTATAATTATTGAAAATGTTACCCTTTTTGGGAAGGTACCAGAAGGAGAGGACCGAAGGATCCCACTTTTGGACTTAATCTGGGTTTGATTAATACAATTTGTTGTGCACAGTTTGTTTCAAATCGGGCACTCCATTCGCCTGATATTGGATTGAAATATTGACCCTATTTGGGGAGGTACCAGAAGAAGTCCCATCTTCGGACTTGATGTAGGCTTCGCAAAGATAATAGGTTGTGCAAAGTTTGGTCCAAATCGGATAGTCCTTTCTCATTATATTATAAAATAAATTTTTATCACAACTTTGAACATTTTGTGGGGATCAAAATGGGCTGTGTGTAACCAAGCCTGAAAGAAAATATGCGACCTCAAATTGTCTGAAACGAATTTGGTCCCAAGAAACAAGGAGTCTGAACCAAATATTTCGATAAGGCACATGTTTGCCGTATCAAAATGGGCTGTGTGTATAATAAATATGCCACCCATCTTAGTATGGAGCATATGAATTCCAATGAATTCAATCCTAACCTAAAATATCGTAAATTTCACGTAACAATTCCACAGACTACATGTCAATATTTGCAATCACATCCAACCAATTTTGCATTGCACTTATCATTGACTTGTAATTAACAAATTTGTCATTTTGTCACAGCAGCAAAGATTCGCTGTATTGGACAAATTTGTAGTTGTTTTTTTATTTGTTATCATTTTTCTTGATGTTGTTGTTGCTGTTATTGTTATGTCAACTATTCATGTCCAGCAATTGTTATTAAAACTAAATTTACCTTTTTCATCACTGGCACTGCTGTTGTTCTTCGGTTCGGTGGTGTTGATTAACAGCATCGATGATGGCAACGATGTGCCATATTTACCGCGTGTCAATACCATGATGCGATATAAGGCATGCGGTTCCAAATTTATGAAATCAATGGATGTTACGTTTGTGACCAGCTCCTGCAAAAAAGACAAAAACAAATAAAACTTTAGAAAAAAACTTGAGGAGGGGGTGTTGCGATAGGTTGTTTAGCTTTTTTTAAACAAAACCCAAATTTGAACCAGAAAAGCCAACAATGACCAACGACCGACTACAACACAAATTCAACAAAATCTCTATATTTATTCGGTGTATTTAGCAGGTTTGAGTAATTGCAATGTAACAACGTTCTGTAATTTGTGGTATTTTTCGCTATGGAATTTTTTTACCCAGTTTTGACTGGCCACCATGATTGTTGGTTGGTTGCTGGGTTGTGGTGGCACGATGATGATTGTTCGATACGATCATGCTCTCTGGAAATTTTGTATTCGTTTGTTGGTTTTATTTAAATAAATACCATTTAAAATATGTTGGTGGTGGTCGGACTGGTGGTAACACTTTAAGCCCTTTTTAAGAGCATTACATGATGTTGGTAACAAACGTACACGCACTCTCACACACACCAACATCGTCAATATGTTATGAAGGTTTAATGTATAAGGGCATTAACTTTATGTAAAACTGTACAATGTTTATATTGTGTAAAGATTGAAGTTTTAATCGGATTAAGATTTTACAACAAAAATAAATGTGTTAAACAATATGTGAGAAAAATAATGGTCAGCACAAATGACATAAACCCTACACCGTGCGATAAAAACAATATTAATACTATTTTCCCCCACAATAGGTGTTGCATTGAATTAGACGGCATTTCTGTAATGGTAGGAGTTAAATGATATTGGTCTTGGCTTTCAACAAGGAAAAGCCACCCAACGTTCCACACAATGATAGAACCTCAGTCACATCTAACGACGAAACTGTTACTTATACGAAGAGATGCCCCAGTTATTTTAATCGACAGTTTGTCGAGCATACCGAGATCGACAGCTAAGTCGTCTAAAGCGATGGACCCCAATCAGTCAGTCATGACACACTGTTTAAGGACATCGAGAACCTTTCTCTCCGGCCAAGTTTGAATCCTTGGATCATCAATTATTTGTGAGTACGCCAGTCGAACATGGTGTTCCGGAAAGAGAAGTCCAAATCCCGTAAATTGAAGCCGGAATTGTTTAACCTCTACCTTTCCGGTATTCCACGCCCTCCCAACGGTATTGAGATCGTTGCGTATGCAGATGATTGTACAATCATAGCCTAGCCTTGATAGCCTATTTCGCCGATTCAAGAGCCTTCTTTGCTTGGGTGCTTCAGGGAAAATCATCATAATCATCATATGGGGGATAAGACTACCCAACCCAGGAGTACCAGACACCGATCTGCATTATCTAGAGAAAGGATCCAACGTTGCAAAAGGGAGCCTCTAGATCAAGTTGCCTATCGAGAAGGTCCAAATAGCATTTATTCTGATGCAGTTGCCGCAGCGCTGAATGAATACAAAATTAATGCCTTTCTCGGAGCTAACCTCCCACCCATCACAGCTGAAAAACCCCAGCTGCCCAGACAAATCCTAGTAGTTTTGGACCAAATACGTTCAGGATTGTGCAGTCGTATTAATTCGTTTTGAGCACTGATTGATGACCACTGTGATACAGGCCCTCACACTACACTGTACTTATTCAATTGCCCTGCCAAGCCTACTCAACTTACTCCAGAAGATCTGTGGATGCAGCCTGTGGAACTAGCTGCACTTCTTAGCTTGGAGATAATAAATATAATTATTAATATTGATCCAAGTTTTGGCTTAGCAGTCATATGGGGTTGTTGGGCACGGTTTTCAATCGCATTGTCTGTGATTCGGTATTTAGGTACTTAATCTCTCTATTAAAAATTATTAATACATACCCAAGTTTGTTAGTAGCCCCGATATTGGACACGTTTTTTAATCGAATTGTATGTAATTCGGTATTTTATGTTCTTCATGTATAACGAACCTCCCTACTAAAACTATTAATATTGACTGAAGTTTAGGGTTAGCTGCAAGTATACGTTTTGCACTCTTATTGGGTGTTAAATGTGAAAACCAAATATGATCAATATATGTCCCTTTTTTGGTACTGCCCCCATTGCAGTTATTTTTATCAAACGCCTCGTGTATTTTTGGTATGTTTAAGGTACTATATTTGATTTTTGACTTCTCCTGAAATAGCGGTTTTAGGTATTTTAAATGTCCACCTCATGGTGATGTATACTCTCCACTCGGTCTGACCGATCTTAATGACATTTTTAATGGTTCAGAATTGAATGTGTCATATTAAAAAAAAATCTGCACCTCTTAAAAATCATATATATAGACTTTTACACAATAAATCCAACATGCCCCAAAAGCAATTCTTCGTCTTTTCAAAACCATTCAATTTTGAGTTGAAAACGTTTTACGAATTCATTTGAATACATACCACCCATCATCACCTCCCCCGTGTTTCTTTCACAAGGTACCTGTGAACCTTGTACCAGTAATGGCGTTTGTTTAGTTTACTTCATCACTTTGTTTACATTTTTAGATGGTTGTTTGGATTTCCGACTATGGCCGAAAAGAAAAAAAAACCTCACAACAATTTTCAAAAAAAAAAAAAAAAAAAAAAAATTTAAACAAAAACACATAAAAAGAAAACACCATCTAAACTTGGTTACACATTTAGTTTTCCGCCGAGAGATCTGTCCACCACGACAGCTATGTTAACCATATCGCGTAACAATTCGAATAAACGGCAAATGTGAATAAAAAATAAAACGCAAAAAGAAACGACAACAACACCAAATAAATTTCTATGCACCTAAGTCAATGGCATTTGGTCAGTGGGTTTTGGCTATACGTAAATAGATGCCACTACGTTTTGACGTTGAGTTTTCTGGGACAACTTCAATGTGTGTGTGCGTACTTAGGCGCACATATCGTCATCAGATGCTACTGCAGTTATGTATTACTGCGTGATTTTATTTATTGTGTGACTTTTTTGTAGAATTTCCGTAAAAATGGCTATAAATGGATATGGACTGTACGATCTAGGTGTGTAGAGTTATTTCGTTAAGTAATATTTTATTTCCAGACAGTTTGGAATATTGGAATGAATGTAATATAGTGGCCACGTGTATGCAGTTACAAGGGACTAAACAAGACCTTCGATGCCTAGGTCCATGAAGTTCCTTGCACCAGCAGCTATATACAAATTCTGTACGTTTTTATTCCGAACACATTTTTCTACAATTTTCTTTTTTTTCAACAATTTCCAATACCACCAATTTGTAAATATGTGATGCTGGTTGTGTTTCCACTTTATTTTTTCATACCCTTCACCACACTGTGGAACAGGGTATTATATGTTTGTAACAGGCAAAAGGATACGAGATAGACACATGGTTCCTTATGAGAATATGCATAGATGCACTTTCTTAGTCGATTTACGCATGTCCGTCCGTCTGTCCATGTTAATTTGTAACCAAAGTACATGTCGTATTTGTGATCCGAATTGGATGAAATTTGGCACAGCTCATCTATTTGGCCCAAGAACGAACCCTATTGAATTGGAAAACATCGGTTCAGATTTAGATATAGCTCCCATATATATGTTCACCCGATTTAATGTAAATAGTATACCAAAGTCCCTATATATCTTTCGATTTGGACTAAATTTGGCACTGCGTACTCAATTGAGTCTAGAATGATGTGTGGAAAATTGCTTGAATATCGGTTCAAATTTAGATATAGCTCTCCTATATATTTTCGCCCGATTTAATGTGAATGGTATACCAAAGTCCCTATATATCTTTCGCTTTGTACGACATTTGGCATAGCGTACTGAATTAGGTCTAGAATGATGTGTGTAAAATTTCTTGAAAATCGGTTCGGATTTAGATATAGCCCCCATATATGTGTTCGACCGATTTAATGTAAATAGTTCACCAATGTCCCCATATATCATCTGATTTGCACAAAATTTGGCATTGAGTCTAGAATGATGTGTGTTAAGTTTCCCATATATATTTTCGCCCGATTTAATGTAAAGCCTTTATATATCTTTCGATTTGCACGAAATTTGGCCGAATGATATTTGCTTTAAATCGATTTACATAATTTTGTCCCATTGTAACAAAAGAATGGCAGTTTTATGGATTGATCTAAGTCGGTTCACATTTAGATAAAGGTCATGTTAATGGCCCTTCTGTTAGGATGCATCTGTGTCATATATATATATATATAATAGTGGTGAAGGGTATCATATAGTCGGCCCGACCGACTTTACTACTTTCCTTTCCCGCCAGATTTTTCTATGCGAAGTATAAACGAAGTATTTCAAGGTTTTTTTGCTGCGCATTTGTCACCATACCCCACAATCTATTCCCAAACGTTAAACGGAGTTTGTAAATCACTGGATTTTTTTTGGACTTACATTGTGTGTGAATTGTCATACTAATGTACTTTATACCATGAATCTGATGTCGCACACGCGCACTCACACACATTTACACATAACTAAAAGGAATAGGACATACGGTCGCAGGAATGTGGATATTTTTTTATTCTGCAAGGATTCAATGGGCTATGATGGGAATTATGTTTGATGATGGAGAGGAGCCAATGTATGTTTCATTCTTCTATGTTCTATTTTTCACTGCCACACACATACATATCCACTTGTTTTTCATCCAATACAAATAATGTGTGATTGGTGAACAATGTTACATAAACCTTAAATAAATGGTTTAAATGTCTGATCATGATTTATATTAATATCAGCGTTTAATACTACAACAACAAATTACCAATGTTTTTCGTAAAAACACTGCCAACATCCCCATGATGGCATCACACCATGGCCAGCTAACAAAGTCAATGCTATTTCTAATGAATAAATATGGTCGCCCGGTCGGTCCACCATTAACATATGACCGGATGAATTACCATGTCGTGGGTCATAAAACAATTTGGCTTAGCTGAAGCTTAGTGTGTGTATGTAGATACGGAAAAAATATATGCAAATCTATATGCATACATAGATGGAGGAATAGAAAAAAGCTACAAGGCTGGCTTAATGGATGAAAGTAATTCACTTAACAATGAATGGGATTAATTGATGTCATTTGTGAAGAGCAATTACCCGTTAATTTGCTATGAGAACAAGATGAATGTGTGTACTTTGTGACGTTGGAGAAAATTATTTGGGAAACCGATTCTTTCTTCCTTAAAATTAGTTTCTTGGCGTATTTGGCATTACTATATATGTTTTCAGTAAATAATTCGGACGAATCCAGCAGTTCTTCTTATTAAAACACCTACACATAGGGTTTAGTT